TACTGAGGTTTGTAATTTCTATTCTGAAAACAGAGGCTTACAGCAAAAAGCGAGAGAAACTGAGGACCTGAGAGAGAATTGAGTAAGAATATTGCAGCAAAGCTTTTAGAGATTTTGGATTTCCAGATCACAGGAGCTCAACCTGTTTTTAGGTTTTGCCAGCTTGTTGCCTATTTTGTTTGGCTCATTTACTGAGTCCCATTTACTAAAATACCGACGTTTGGCATTTCACTCCCTTCAATAATATTGCAACAGGACTACACAAGGATGCCCTTTGTCATCATTACTATTCAGCATATGCATAGACACCATGACAAAACAATTTAAGCAATATGAATACATTTGTGGGGAAACGCAACTATGTGAAAGTAAGTTTATGCTAGATACATCTGATACCATGTTTGCATTGAGAAATTCCAAAATATCTAAAGTGTTTCCAGTGGTCTCTAAGGGACACAGAAATGAAAACAGCACATTTGTCCACTATCCTCTAGTAAAACAATGACCATGATGATAACTGCTATCACAAGAATTATAGGTCTTGATTTACAACTGAATCCACGCAGTATACTGTTAAACAATACTTCAAGCAAATAGGCATAATCTATTTTAAAAAATGATATCCTACATGTTGAACGTCTTATGTGGCAAATTCCTATAGTCAATCAGTAAAACTAAAGGAGGTTATACATAATGCCAATCATGTTCTATTCAATCTATTCAATTATTGCTGGAATTAATGTTGCCTTACAAACAATTGTACTTTTAAAAATTCTTTTCTGCTTCTCTGGTTCTTTGAATCTCAACAAGCTTTTAAAAAAATAAAAATAAACATCTTCAGGAGAGAATGCCTCTAGAACATGGCCATATAGCCCGAAGAAACCTACAACAACCCAATAATCTTCAATAATAAAGTAAGATAGACTTACTAATGGCATGAACACATATTGATTATCCCCAAACAATTCCAAAATTACATTGTGTTCATAGAACACTGAGATTGAAAACAATGGGAGTCCATATCTTTATAGCCTTAGGATGTACTGAGAAACTTCTACAAGATTTCTGATCTTTTTAAAAATGCCATCCCCCTATATACAGAGAAACATACAAGTCAATTTCTCCTGCAGTTTACAATTCCCACCACCACCAGGATTGTGTATGTGTATGTGTCTCAAAATTGAATTTAAAAGAATTAAAGAAATTCTCCTGAAGTTTTCAGTTTCTCTCACAGGCATCTTAGAACAAACATAAACATGATCATGCTACTACATGCATTTTTATCGGAGGGAGTGAGAATATATTATGAGTTTGCTGCAAACAATGCAAAAAATGCTTCAGCTGTACATCATAAAAAGGATAATCGGTATGTTTAGCAAATTAGCTTTGCAAATGCTGATGTATTATATATCCATATACCTAGGGTCACATAAAAATTTCTCAAGCAGAAAGGTGTCATAAGTGGAAAAGGTTTAAGAAGCTGTGAAACTGCACTAAATGTAACATCGATACTCCTATTAATTCTTTGTAAAATGCCTATTGTTTCCACATACCAAATTTCAAATCTATGCTTGCTCTTCTGCCACAAATGATAAAATATTGGGTTGTGTTCAGTAGCATCAAGGCCAGCAACATCAGGTGTTGTCTTGCAGAAAGCATATCACAGCACATTTTTCTTGCCAATGTTCAAGTGTTCTACACTTATTTCTGCAGCATGTCTGAGCTCTGTGATGATAACAGAAAAGGCAGACAAGAATTTACAGAGATACCTTAACTCTCCTTGAAAATGTCTTTCACAAAAGTAAACTAGGAACAATTGGATGTACGTGTCTACTTTCAAATCTCACAATCTGTGCCACTACTGGAACAACAATCAACTCATCAGAGTATAAAACAAGCAGGTTTTAGTAAAAAAAACCTATTTCCACAGCTTCCCAGCAAAGCTGCAATTACTAGTGTTAGTAAAAGACTGTCATTTTTCTTATCCAGCGATCAGTGTCATGGTTTACGAATACAGTATTTACTGTTTAAGGAAATAATCCCAACTAGGAGACAATTCATCCTGGCATTTGCGTTGATCCCGCAATTAATTACTATTGCATGGATAAAGTCCTTCAGATTAGCACAGTTTTTCTATCCAAACATAGCAGTGTAAAGTAATGTAATTGCTAAGTATTTTTATGGTAGGCACAAGGAATTTGCACACTTATCCTGCTGACATTTATTTATTTACTGCTTTTATATTCTCACCCTGCAGGGGACTCAGGGCGGATTTCAGTGTACACATATATGGCAAACATTCAATGCCAATTTTTGACATACAAACATATACAGACATACACAGAGGCTATTTAACAGGCCGCCAGGGGAGCTGTCACTTTAATCGTCCATCTGTGACGCTGATGAAGCATTTCTGCATTCCCCACATGCTTCCCCACTGGAATGCTTTGCTTGAGTCTTCTTTATGGCCTCATAAATCAGTTAATTTAGCCTCCCCACACTTTTCCTACTTGACAGATGCAACTGTCTTTCGAGTTGCAAAGGTCAACAACAGGCTACACACAATTGGTTGGAAACCCACTCCAACCCGGGCTGGCTTCGAACTCATGACCTTTTGGTCAGAGTGATCTTAATGCAGCTGACACTCAGCCAGCTGCGCCACAATCTCGGTGCTGTTTGTTTTTACACAAAGCCCTGAAAAGACTCCTTAATATTATTTTATTTTCCTTTTTACAAAAAGTGTCATTTCTTTTGACAGAGAAATGTGTTTTAATAGGGAATTGTCTTCAAATATGCAGCTGACAGTCAAGAAACAAAGTTTTAGCTAATTTTCCTTGTGTACATTAAATAATGGGAGTGTTGATCAACACATTAGACTGAATAAAGAATAGCATAGGAAGAGGATGGCAAATAAGCTTTGCTATCCTTAAGTCACAATTGATTACACACGCTTTACTAAAAAGGACATTTTGATGATTTGAAGAACCTTTCAATTTGAAGAACTTCGGAAAAATACATGTTTTATTTACACATTTCACAACTGATCTGCCATGGTGCTCAAAGCCAATGACAGCCAGTGATCAACGGATAACAAAACTCTATAACACTATGTAACAAAATCTGAAAAATAATTCTGTTCCTCTTTTGAAAGTGTTGCTCCTGTTTAATTGTGTGGTACTTTTGTTTGCTATACTCCAGAAACTTCATTTTTGTGGCTGTCATAATCTATGTTAAATTGGTTGAGACTCAGCACATTTGGACTTTGAAAACTATAGCAAAATGTGCTGCAAGATATCCCACAAAAACAAAGTTTTTGCAGTTTAATATACTTTCCCATGCTTTTATGATAGAATCAATTAGGAAATGGCAGTTATAACTCATAAACAAAAATCATGTTACATTTCTTCCTTTTCAAGATTGAGCATTCTCAAATTACACCATCAAAATGGTCAATGTCATAAGAAGATTTTATCACTTAGTGTTGCAGTGATGGCAGTGTATTTCAATGGCCACTATTCTCTTAAAGCAAGAGCAGTGATCTGAACAGAACAAAAGCAGTGCAATCTAGAGCTCTATATGAGCTCCCATGTTCTCAATACATTTCATCTGTTTCGCAGGAAGGATCGAACTGCTTTATCAAAAAGAAAATATATTTGCTCAATATTCCCCAGTGAAACAAATGAAGGGAGGAAATAGAAAGGAAATGTTGTGTATGTTTATAGACCCACAAAAGGAAAGATTGTGATCCTGTCTTTCAGAATATTACAGCAAGGGATACTGGGGTTTATCATAGGACAAGATATACAGCAAAAGGCATTTTTACACACTTTATCAGTACTTTGGATGATTATGACTGGATGGGTGTAAGCAACACCACCTTGAGTAAGGCTTTGTAGTTTTAGCAAGTTACACCCATATTTTACTGCACTTTAGCAAAACGAGCATATGGGTCTTCATATTAGTTCAGATATTTAAAGAAGCCACCATATGGCAAGGAGAAAGATAAATAAATAAAATTGCAAAGCTAAAACTAGATAAGACATTGACAGTGCAATTGTCCTGTTTATAGAGCTACGTATGAGTAATATTTTGCATGACCAATCTAAATACAGTGACATTTGCTTCTTTTGTATGATGGACCAGTTTGTATGACAAATACAGCCTGCCTACCTCTTCCTGTATTACAATTTATTGCTTTCATCTTCCAACAGTAATCAAATTTATATCCTATCAATTTTGCTGCAGGAGAGGTAAACACATGCTTCCTCCACAGAAATCAAAAGGAGTTACAGGTACAGATTGGACATCCCTTATGCAGAATTTAAACATCTAAAAGCGTTCATGTGAGTAGTTGAGATAGCAACATCTTTGCATTCTGATGGTTCAGTGTACAGAAACTTTATTTCATGCACACAATTATTGAAAGTATTGCATTTAAATTTAACTTGAAGCTACATATATAAGATGTATAGTATATGAAACATATTTTTTTATTTAGACATGGGTCCCATCTCCAAGATATGTATATACATGCAAATACTGGTAATCCAAAACACTTTTGGTTCAAAGTATTTCTGATAAGCGATACACAATCTGTATTTTCATCATTCAGTCAAATAAACAAATGTGAGTCTAATTTGGAGCTGCTGGTATAACATTTGACCTGTCTGAAAAGTTCCATTTTCCCACCATTCTGTGGGGCATCCCACAAACTCCTCCCAAAACATTGTCTACAAAATGAAACTTAAATTGGGAGCTCCAATATAACATAAGATTTACCCCAACATTTCTTTCGCACCCCCCTCCCCTTCCTGTTACATGTCTCAATCCTTTGCATTTTTCTTTGAAAGAATGCTGGATACAATCTTATGAGTCTTTTACACAAATCCTCCTGATGTCTGGAAGCATTTCAAGCAAAATGGTATATAAAATATCCCATAGAATTGTTAGATTAGAATTCCCAATTACATTAAGATGGATATTATTTCCAATTACTTTACCTTTCTTGCTTCTTTTATCATCTTTCGAATAGTTTCCTTTATTGTGTAGGGTTGTATCCGTGGAGGATGGAAGAGCAACTCAATATTTGTACCACCAGAAATCCCAGGCATCACGTAAGGCCAACCCAAGTCAAGATTAGGAGCTTCCACATCTGATTCCATGGGCCAATATGTTCCCGATGAAGAGGCATCATCAACTGTATTGTCAGTAGCATAAATTGTGTTTTGGGGAAGTTTCTGAACAGTACTTAGTATATAATTCATCTCATCATCTGCAAGGAACTCTGAACATCTTTCCTTGGCAAGGAATTCTTGATAAGCCTCAGAACCACCTTCAATCAGTGCATCAATGGCCAGCCTGTAACACTCCTTGTAATGTGGCTCAAGGTAGTTGTCCGATCTGCATTCATCGTGCAAAGACGACAGCAGAGATGAGGTTTCCATTTTCACAGTTCTTTAATGGCCAAGTTTGTCAGATTTCCATTCATGAGCTATGGAATATACCTAAAAAAAAGATGAATAGCAGTCAAAACATGCAATATATGAGCTGTTTTTAATATTGTTGAGAAATGTCATGAAGCAGAGAAAAAAATATGCTGCATTACTAGCTGTTTAACACACCAGTTATCAAAGTGCACTCTGGGGAGCTCTTGGGGCTCTGCAAGAGGTGCTCAGGGGCACCATGGGACCTCCACTTCCTCTGGGGTTTCTATTATTATTATTATTATTATTATTATTATTATTATTATTAACACAACAAGATTAGTACACAGCAAACAAGATCATTATGCTGGCTGTTGTATGTTATTACTATTACTATTAATATTAATTATTTCAAAGGTTGCATGGCCATCTGTAGGGTGTGCTTTAATTGCGTTTTCCGTGCAAGGCAAAAGGGGGTAGGACTGGATGGCCCTGGGTGTCTTCCACTGTCAAGTTTGTGTTTGTCAAAACTGCTCTTCATTTTAAACATTGTAAAAAAAAATTGCACTGTTTTAATTGGTTCACACAAACACTCTCCATCCATTTGCCACTGGCCCAGCCCATGCCTGATATACATTATATATAATATAACATATAATATAAACATTTCTTGGGGCTCCACAATAAACTTTTGCTTCAAAAAAGGTTCCATGGCTGAAAAAGTTTGAGAACTCCTGGATAGGCAAAGTTTAAACCAATTCATTCACCTCCACATTTGTAGATTTGAGTTTTGTGGATTTGATTATCTGTGAACTTGATTAAAACATTATCTCTAGGTATATCTAGATTCTTTGCCACAACGGTTAACTTCCAATTGAGGATGACCATAGTTATGATGGAAGACCAAAAAGGTGCTATCTCAGTTTTTAAAAACCACAGTTTTTGTATTTACAGTTTTGCATTTTCACAGCTGCCCTCTACCTATAATCACAATGAATGTACTGCATTGTAACCCAGGCATTAAATAAGAATTTCACCCAGGGAAGAAGTAGAATAATCCCCACATAGCATTTTTCTGTCCTTGGTAATCACAACTTTCTATATGTGTATATAATGTACCTTATTTAGCCTATATTGTACATTTTTCTTTTTTTCCCCCCTTTTAAAAACCACACATCTGTGTTGTTGCTTTGAGAATGCCACTTACTTAGCCAGTAAAAAGAGAAATCTAAATGCACAAACACACTTCAGTGAGATTAGCCTTCCATTAGTTATGCTGCAAAATCCAGCCTTTCTTTCTTTCTTTCTTTCTTTCTTTCTTTCTTTCTTTCTTTCTTTCTTTCTTTCTTTCTTTCTTTCTTTCTCATGGTGGAGTACATTCTGGCTATAAAAAAGATACACACCTCATCTCCAGTTACACCGAACCTGTCTGTGAGTTTATCAACCAGTTTTTCCCATGCTGATCTAATCCACTTTCTGCTTGCATCTTCAATCAACCTACACCACTTCCATGAATAATTAATACACCAACTCTGAAGAATGTTCTTCTCCCACACCTTGAATCAAATACGTAATCAGCAAAGTGATAATAGGTACCCGCCCTGTTCTTGAAAGCAGCAACTTGTATTTGTAGTGTTGCTGGTTTATTGAACAAGCATGGTTTTTTGGCTGTTGTCCAAAGATGAGGCCAGAACTTCAAAGTGGCTGAGTGCTAGGCAAGTGCTTAGATATTTTTTTTTACTTCTTCATGTGCAGAAAGCAGAGATTCACATTTAAAATTTGCTTTCTTTCAATTAACATTCCAACAAGTAACCAATTAAGAAAATATGATTGCTTGGTTGGCTATTAGAATTGCTGTGTATCAACAACAACAAACTACTCTGGGACTTCCAAATTCAGACTGGCAGAGTTTTTGAGCACAATACTTCTGGCCTCATGATCATGTTAAAAAACAAAGTATGGTTCATCGATGTTGCAATCCCAGGCAATGGCAAGATTGAAGAGAAACAACTGGAGGGGCTGACACAATACAAGGATTTAAAGATCGAACTCCAAAGACTCTGGCACAAGCCAGTCAAGGTGATCCTAGTGATGATCAGCACACTGATACACACACACATACACACATACATATATTCTACAGACACCAAATGTTAACCATGGCAATTCTCCAGCTATGAAGGTTAACTTGATCATCTTACTCATCAGAATAGCTAAGATGGAAACTAAGAAGGGTGCCATATAAAGATGAGGCCTATAAAAGTTATATAATTTATGATTTATATATATTGAAAAGCTGATTGGAGACGAGGGAAGTCACAGACGAACAGCTGAGGGATGTGGCTTCCTAGATAATGTTGAACAACTTTCATCAGCCCCAGTCAATATGGATGGTAGCTGAGATGGTGGGCTGGATGTTTAAGAGAATCTGGAGGGCTACTGCTTCTTCATTCTGGTTCAGAACTACATCTAAGCCAGAGATGGCAAACTCATTTTCACTGAAGGCTTTATGGTTGACTTGATAGGGCCATTGAAACCATAGATGAAGAACCCTGGGATACAGATAATCAACTATAATTATTTTACATAGTGGACTGTGCTCTTAAGTGTTTACCCAATTTGGGTCCCAGATGTCATTGAACAATAGCTCCCATCATTTCTGATTATCTGCCACAAAGAATGGGAATTGTAGCCCAATAGCACTTGTTGCTGAGACTGGGGAAAGGTTAAAGGTTATTATAAAGTCTCACATTACATTCACAAGCCTTGTATCGAAATTCAAACCTCACTATCCTGACTGAACAGAACAAACTGCAGCCTTCCAGTTGTAACTGTATTACAACTCCCATCAGATGTGGTCATGATTTCTAATAATGAGGAATACAGAGTTGTAGGAGCACATAAAATGACATGGCATGGATCTGGCCTGCGGGCCTTGAGTTTGAGACCTGTGATCTAAGCACAGTGAATGCCTGAATTCTGTACCAGCTGCAAGTTTGCATGATCTCTCAGTGCAAGTGAAGTTGCAGTGTGCAACTTGATGGCACATATACAAATACATTTTGCAGAAATCAAACCTTTTTTCAAAAAGCTAGAAGAAAGGCAGCAATATCAAAAGGAAATTTAGAAAACAGAAACCACATTTTTAGCCAGTATGATAATCTAATGCACTGTGGTGCCAGCCATCATGACCACAATTTTATCTACATTCAGGTTCAATTTGTTCACTTGTATGAAATGTCTAACCATAGCCAGGGAGTGCTTAAAAATAATAATGAAACCACAGGATTAGATATCACCAGGCAGGACCTCATTCCTTCACACATTCTCAACAAATGACATCCCCATTTACGCAGATGTGGCAGAGATCCTGTTTTCCGCATCCAATTTCAACCCCAACATCCCACATACCAGGATATATATGCATTTGAATTACTAATTAACTAAACTGGTTCAGGCATATCCCAGTCAACAAAGACTCTGACAAAGAAGCTTCATTTTACAAAGTCTTAATTTGTTTTTGTTTGTTGTTGTTGTTTTGATAGCATTATGACTGGGAGAGATGGAGAAACATAGACTTTCAATGTTGGGTTGCAGGAGCATTTCTGAAGTGAGAATTGGATGAAATCTCAATCTGGGAAACAATGGTATTCAGCTCAAGCTGATCCAGGGAAGGTAAAATAGATGTTCCCAAAATTCCTTACATGAATAGTAATGAAGAGAGAAAAGGGAAGGACATTTATGCTTGCTTTACCAGATAGCCCCAGCAACTTTTTTGAAAACAGATTTGTAACCCTGGACACTGAAATGGAAATCATAAGTTCACGTTGACAAAAGAAAAAGTCATCCCTGGATGCATTTTTGGGAATAAGTCTTTGAATGGTCTCTAGAAGGTTAAAAAATAGATATAAGATTCCCAGTGAGTAGTGATGGAAATCATAGGTAGTGGGCTCACAGGCCAGAGGAAGGAAGGAAAGGATTTGTTGCAATGTACCTGTTTTGCTAGTTAATGTAATTTTTGCTTTTGCTTGTGTCTTGCATACAATAACATAAAAAATTTGAACACACACACAAATTTAATGCAAAGTTTATTTGACCTACTTGTTTCATTCAATATACATATACAGTTAATTTTGATTTTTTTTAAAAAAAAATGGGAACACGTGTACAAATATATCTCTTTTTGTGGTATACAAATGTATCCCTAACCTTTCCATGTTATTTCTACTTCCTGTGCAAATTTAGTAAAGTAATGCCTAGGAACACATTTATTCTGTTAATTGAGGTGTGCTTATATGGAATACCAATCTCGCTTCTACTGTTCAGATGTTAAATCCACAACACCTGGCAGTAGTGCAACATCAGCTCAACCTATAACAGATCCCTCTACTATAGGGAATAGTCCAACTCAGGCTTATTGAAAAATGTACCATTTAGTATACTGGGTCTTGAATCCAGACAAGACAGAGCTGCTTCTGGTCAGTCAAAAGGGAGATCAAAGAATAGAGAATCCTCCTATGTTGGTTGGATTTAGACTGCCCTTAAAATCGCAAAGCCACTTAAGTGTTTTTCTGGCATCGATCCTAAATCTTGACGTCCAGGTTTCAGAAGTGACCAGGAGTGCATTTGCACACCTAAAACTTGTGTGTCAGCTGCACCCATTTCTTGAGATATCAAATCTAGCTATGAAGACTTGTTTACATCCTGTTTGGACTTACTTACTTAGGTGATTCTCCTTGTCCGAGTATGATAGCCTCCCAAGTGTAGTGTCTTGGCAATGGGTACGTAGGTGACAGTGGAGCCCTAGTCTTGATCCACATGTTCTTCCACAGTGAGGGCATTGATTCACAGGTGGAAGACAGTCCCAGTCAGGGTTGGTTTGACGAGCCTTTCTCTTGGCACATTTCTCCCTTTTGCCCTCCATTTGTGCCTCTTTAAATTCCACAGCACTGCTGGTCACAGCTGACCTCCAGTTAAAGCACTCAAGGGCCAGAGCTTTCCAGTTCTCAGCATCTATACCACAGTTTTTAAGGTTAGCTTTAAGATCATCTTTAAATCTCTTTTCCTATCCACCAACATTC